GAGGCCCCGCCTTCAGTGGCGGCCGGTGGTCTTTTTTTTTGGTGGGGCTCTTGACGTACCGTAAGTGACCTACCCGGGGGGGTCCGGGGGGTTTCCCCCCGGAATTTTTTTTTCGAGAAATGACCCCTTAAATGATGACTTCTGGTGATGTTAGAGGGGGGGGGAAAGGAGAAATCGAGGCTTAAAAATATGAGAAGACTGATCAATACCTCCATAATCTTCAGTGTGGAAAATATTATTTATCAACCTGAACATCTACTACTTTACCAGGAATTTGTGTTCTCAGAACTGGTCTGTTTTTTTCTTTCTTAAAACTGTTCATGTTTTATGAACCAACACCTTCACCAAGTAGCTTTACAGTGAACTGCATGTGAGATATAAAATTAATAGCATCTTTTCAGTAGCATTAATTATAAATATTTAAGTGGTTCAATACAAGTCACTACAGCATTTCAAACTGAACTGTGAATAAATGCAATTTAAAAAAAATAACCACAGCACAAAATGTCATAAATTGTGTTTTTTCTTTGTTTCTCTGAGGATTATTTACAAACAGGCTTATTTACATATAGCAATAACTCAGAAATGAAAAAGCTACATCGTCTAACACGAACAACCAGTTAGCATAATGATAATATATGTGTTATGTACAATGTAACTGGCAAGGCTAGAGCAAGAAAGAACATAAAGTTTGCAAAAGGTTTTAAATAACTTCAAGTATCTGTCTTCAGATTACGTGGAGGTTTTAGTCCGATGGGAAGCAGATTTTAAGCGACACCGAAGATAAACCAAAAATGTGGTGGAGCTGCAAACCGTGTAGTGTTGCTGGGGACAGAACAGGAGCTATAACCGTTGGAAAATACATCACAGACAATGCAACAAACGTGGAGACAGAACAATCACTTCTGTGATAAATGCCCACTTATTAATAAACTTCTAACAACCATGGGAAACCTCCTCTCTACATATAAAGTGATATCCAAGCATGGGAAACAAAAGACAGCATTTACCTGTTTGCATCCAGCTAGCCAAGCCTTTCTTGTGTACCAGCTACTTGTGAAGCCTCGTGTATAAATGTTGTCTTTTTCACGAGATTGCTGCGATATATTCAAATCGGGTTGGTCCGGTGCAAGGTCTTTAAGCAACAATTTATCTGCCAAACTTCTCCTTTCGAAAGGATTGGAGATTAGCTCTTGAACAGAATTAGCCGGGGACCGAGGTCCGGAGACTCCACCTGCACACGAAGCCATCCTCATCAACTACTGCGTCAACCGGATACGAGTCACTGTCCAAACTACTCACAGACTGCACTGGGCGCTGACATTGGCGCCCGGTGACCGTCATCTTTGACGACGCTGATTGGCTGAAATTATATTTTCGCGGCATAGTTTACACGTTACAGATAGCAACAGTCAGCTGCTGGTGGCTGCTGCTGCACTGGTTGAAGGCTCCTCTCTTAGCGCCCAGACGAGAGAAGGTGCATGGGCAAGGCCAGGCAGGAAACATGTGACTTATCAGTAACTTTAGACATCGTAACACAATTTTAAACGAGATTTTATTGTAGATTATACATTTTACTGATACCAATTATATAATATTTACCTTGTTCATTAAAAATAAAAATAAAAACATATATATTTTTTTAAACATATATTTTTTTTTTTATTTTAATTTTAATTATTATTATTTATTTTTTTCAATATGGGAAGAGGTGGGGCGGCGCCCCTAGCGCCCCTATGGACCGGCCGCCACTGCCCGCCTTACATCTTCCGCCACAGATTTGGGGAAATTGGTCCATGCGCAAAGCATTGTGGGGATTTTAAGGACGCAAAGTCTACCCATGTGCAGCCTCGAAATTTCCCCCAAACCAAGGACGCGGCCTCGGTGGAATTCCAAGTATGCTGGAGATTGAAACAGTCCTTCGGCGGCACTCGATGACGTAGCATCCTTTAAATATTGGCTTGGAAGCCAATATCCTCGCGATTGAGAAACGGTCTGAGAGCAGGAAGAAGAGGGAGGGCTTATCTGATTCATTCCAGGAGGAGGAGCAGCGCTGACTCTCTGAACTGTTTCCTCATTTACAAACGGAGCCTCGCTAACAACCTGCTCTACATTTGAAAACAGTCTTCAGCTGTAAAATATTTCTTGTCCTCACTCATGGTAGCAGTGGTGTAAGAAGTACTCAGATATTCTACTAAAGCAAAAGTAGAAATACTAAGGTGTAAAAATAATGTGTTACAAGTAAAAGTACAAAAGCATTGGTATCAAAATATTAGAGTACCAAAAGTAAAAGTACTCCTTATACAGTACATAAATGCCCTTTTCAGAATCGTATATATATATATAGAGAGAGAGAGTAATGGGTTAATATTGATGTGTTTTATCACAGTTAGTAAATGTAGAGCTAATTTGAATAACTTGATGTCCTGCTGCTGGCTATCTTAACCTATAAATACCTGTCAAAGTGTAATTAATAATTTATTTACGTTTTGAATTATCTGATAATCTATATCTAACTAGTAACTAAAAACGGTCAAATAAATGCAGTGGACTAAAATGTACAATACTGTCTTTTAAAATGTAGTGCAGTATACGGCAGCATGAACTGAGATGTATTGGCATACAAAAATAGTTAAAGTACCAAAAGTAAAAGTACTTACTGTGCCCAATATCCCATTTTAGAATCATATATATTGAATTACTGGATTCTTTCATTTTGTTTACGTTAATGTGATCACAGCTGTGCAGAAACTTTTACTTTATATACTGCTGCTGGATATCTTAACCTATAATTATATATCACTGTTTATTCATATTTTGTTTAAGCTAATCATTTGTATTTGTGAAATAACTAGTAACTAATTTTGTCAAATAAATGCAATGCTTTCTGCGGTCATGACTACTTCACTTTGACTGTGGTCTTTTAGCTCTTTAATGAATAACAAAAACCCCTGCAATCGTATATTTTCCAGACCTGAGGTGGTTTACAAATATCTCCTGAAAATGAATTATTATGAATCAGTCAGGTAACACAGTATATCTGTGATGCATTTTCTTCAAACTGTTAACTCTGTATGTAAGGACTCCACGGTGCAGACACATGGAGAGTAATCAAGTGTAGTGATTGTCTCTGGTGCTCTAATGTATAGTAAATGCTGTTCAGCCCCACCCTTGGACCACACTCCCAACAGCTTCACCTCTGATAAACACCACCGGACAGGTCAGGAATCAGCTGTCGAAGATCAACGAGAGAAAGGCCAGGGGGCGAGACAACACCAACCCCCGGGGGCTCAAGGTGTGTGACGGACAGACAGATAGCAGGAGCTCTTCAGTCTCTCTTTGAAGCTGATGAAGGTGCCTGAGATCTGGAAGACCTCCTGCATTGTCCCGGTGCCCAAAAATATATTGAAGTGCAGTTATTTTGTATATATTGATTGTTGTGCTTTTATTGATGTCTTAATGTGTGCATGTACAAATGTGTCTGTTGATTGTGTATATATGTATACACATATTTGTATTCACATTTCTATATATATTTGTATTTTGTATTCCTCGGGATTGTGGGAAACGGTATTTCGATCTCTCTGTCTGTACACACAAACTGAAAGATTGACAATACAGTTGACTTTGACTGATGCTCTCTTCAGGAAGCTGTTCTCCCTGAGGAGGCTCAGGTCCTTCAACGTGTGCACGAGGATGCTGCAGATGTTTTACCAGTCTGTGGTGGCCAATGGGCTCTTCTTTGCCGTGGTGTGCTGGGGTGGAAACACAAACACAAGTGATGAGGCTGAACAAGCTTGTGAGGAGGGCTGTAGTTGGTGTACAACTGGACAATCTGGAGGAGGTGGCAGAGGGGAGGACGAGGAGGAAGCTCAACAGTATCCTGGATCAACAGGATAAATGCAAATCAATTTTTATCTTTTATATAATGTACATTTCTTGATTTTCTTTTTTATATTCTCTCTCTCATTAGTCAAATAAACCTACCATTAAAATGATAGACTGTTAATTTCTTTGTAAGTGGGCAAACTAACAACATCTGCAAGGGATCAAATACTTATTTCCTCCACTGTAACAATATATACAACTTTATAAGCTATCAAACTATCAAATATGTTTTGCGGCTCCAAAGAAAAAAAATGTGTGGAAAAGGGGGCAAAATTGCTCTTTTGGTCAAAAAGGTTGCACACCCCTGATCTATGTTATGAATTAGTTGGCAGTGCATACGTTAAGTGCTCCAGTTCAGCAGATGGCGGTAGAAACCTCCTGCTACTTGTTTAAAAGTCCTCCATTTATCTGTGAACCCCAACCATCCTTATAGCCACGACAGCCAATTCAATGCAGCCCATGCTGTGTAGCTCATTTAGCTCCAGCTAGTCGTGTCAAGTCAAATCAAGTCCAACCAGGGAGCTACCGGAAATGTGATGCCTGTCCTTCAAAATAAAAATCAGAATCAGAATTCGTTTATTAGACCCTCAGCACTGCTCAGCACGGGCATTTACAGTGTTTGAGCAAAAGTGGCATAACAGGTAAAAAAGGCAAGCAATAATAAAGAGTAAGCTAACTTATTAAATATAGAGAAAAGCACATATTAGTAATATAATAAAAATAAGGACAAGTAAGTACACAACCGTGGCTATAAATGGGTAGCAACAATTTAAAGAACTGACACATAACACATTAAGTTGTTGAGACATTATACAAATGTTGGGACACTTGTACACATGTATGTTTTTAACAATTCATTATTGCACAGGGTTAGGGTTAGGCTACAATTAGCAAAAAAGTGTTTATATTCAAATAAAGCGAAATATTGTACCAAGAAAAGCACATCACATTATGTACGAGGTGTGGACACAGTGTTCACTTTGTGTAAAACTACGACACACTCAATTATATCGATATCAAATGTAATGGATACACATTAATTAGTAATAGAGCTTTTATTTTGTGGACCCATACAGGAAGTGGTCGAACCTTTAAACGTAATTGACGTTTACGTGACACTGGTTTGCTGTTTGCTAACAACAATGAGAAGGAGTAGCAATTTAAACGGTGCTAACACATTTTGCTAAGCTTTTTCAAGGTACAGTTTGCTACATATATGCACTGTTATTACCGACATGAAAACGTATTTCTGATAGTTGTTTCGCAATTAGCTTTGTAGCTTTCTAGCATTAGCTGTGGGTGTGTGTGGAACAGAGAGAGTATGCTAAAGCTAATCAACTAGCTTCAGGCTAACAATTGCCTGCGTGTAATCAGACACGTAGACTGTACACTTTACGTTAAAACTGCTATAAAACATCATAATGGTAAATCGAAATGCTGTCTTTTCACATGAATGAAATGTTATTAGTAAAGTTATTTAATGTAACTTGTGAAAAGACGCAAAAGCACTTTGTGTGTTTACATAATAGATGTCCCACCTCTTTGCAATGATTCACACTTTAGTAATGTTACAGAGATTTAATAGCAAGCAATTGACGTTACACCATCATATCCTTTGTTATAATTAAATCAATCCTCCAACAATATGCAGGTGCCTTCAAAACGTAGACGTTTACTAAAACTAGTATTATTTGTTACTCCTAATACCCAGTGGTTTAGCATTGCTGGCCCACAGTGTTTCTTAAAAGTCCTGAGAGTTTGGTAAATGCCTTATTTTAGCTATATTTCTTTTTTACTTTAATATCAAGAATATATGCTTGAATTCAATCAACTAACCCCTTTAATTTTCTACCTTTTCAATAGTATTAGGTGTTTTATCTACAGGATTACATGTTTAAACCAACAATCTTTCAAGGTTTAAAATGAGACACTACCGTCTTGCACATTTTAAAATGTCAAATTGCTTTTGATTCTGGAAATATTGGTTTTACACGTATTTAATTTCAAGTACCTATCTTTGCATTATCATCTCCTTTTTCACATTCCACTCCATCCTCAACCAATATGCTGATTTCTTCAAATTGTAGAAGTCTAATCAAATTAGTAAGATCACAGTAATGGTGATATTTATGTCATTAAGTTTAGAGCTAACTTTCCCTGTAATATGTGTATGTTCTTTTTTTTAAGCTAGTCTTTTGTATTTAGATGAACATATCAAAAGATATCAAAGTGTCATACGCCAAACCTTTCTATTGAACACAACATATGTATTATCTTTAACCATGATCTCCCTTTGCTTTCTTCAGGTTGATACCTTCCCTCTGTCAGGAGGACTGGATGCAGAGACCGCTCGTTTTATTATATAAAAAGACTGTCTCTGCCGGCTTTCAGCCTCTTGGCACACTTGTCAGGTGTCAGCCACTCTGGAAAGGGTCTAGAAACCTCTCTGTCCCTTCATACTTTAAACAAATACCCCCAACTGTTCATGCATTTAACATTTCCCGGCAAAACCACAACTTTTCCTTAGTATCCCGAGTCCTGCAAAAAGATTATTTCCGTCTTTCTTTGCAACAATTTTTCTCCGAGATGGCAGACCAGAAGTTCATCGTGGAGTATGCCAAACGTGGCACTGCAGGATGTAAGAAGTGCAAGGAGAAGATTATGAAGGGGATAGTGCGCATCGGGAAGGTCGTTCCAAACCCCTTCAGCGAGTCTGCAGGAGAAATGAAGGAGTGGTATCACTCCAAGTGTATCTTTGAGAAGATGGAGAAAGCCAGAGCCACCACCAAGAAGATCGAGGACATCACAGACCTGGAGGGCTGGGAGGAGCTGCAGGACGAGGACAAGGAGGCCATCAACAAACATGTCTCAGGTACCAGGGTGTCCGCGGGGTCTTAAAAAGTATTAAAAGTTGATAAATCAATTTAGCGAAAAGTAAGGCTATTAAAAAGTATTAAAGGCCATTTTCCAAGGTATTACATTTTGTAGCTAGTTTTCAATAAGTATATAAATTGTCCAAAGAGGTTGTATTCTACAGTGTGCCTGAATGTAATCATTGCGTAGGTGTGTAGTGTGATTCTGTGTCGTTTATTTATGGCATCCCGTTGGATTTGACGTCATCTGAACAGGACATCGCGCGCTCTGCTTGATAGCGCGCGAAGGTCCGTTTACGCCGGTTGTTAAACAACATCGTTATGGGGGAATGCAAGTCTGCGTCCAAATGGTTGGAAGATAAGGAGGAAGGACAATCAATACTGTATATAGTCAATGTGAGGTAAAGTGTGTCGCCAAGGTAACCGGTTAGAACTCCAAGTGGCGATGAGGTCTTAAAATGTATGGAAAGGGTCTTAAAAAGGGTCTTAAAAGGTTTTACATTTGACTTCAGGATTCCTGCATATACATATATTTAAAAAATTAAATAACCGTTAAAAAGTCAAATAAAAGCAAAATTCCTTCTGTTGGGGAAAATACGAATTGTCTCCTTCACTATTATGGGTTTCTGATGGGCATGATACTGTGTGTGACCTTGCACTGTGTGACCTTGCACTGTGTGACCTTGCACTGTGTGACCTTGCAGCCTCCTCCTCGTAGATAGGAGAAGGCAGGGCATAATTCATGTTGTTGATACGAACGAGAGGACACATACGTTGTCTCCTCTCCTCTCTGAGGGGCAAAGAGCAACATTGCTTTTCCAGAGATGTCCCGACGCCTTCCCGACACCTGATGACGACAAACTGATTTACGACCCTGTTTGGTACCTCCTGACTTTACACTATATAAGCTGAAATAAGTTGAACCATATCCTTTGCATGTGACTTAACTCTGCTCCTTCTTGCAAGAATAAATTAGTACCTAACTATTGATCTTCAACCCGGTGTCGAGTGATATTTTCCTAACACTCAGTCACAGTTGCTTACAAGTAATGAAACATAAAAAATAGAACACAATATTCTTCTAAATAATATTCTTAAGGAATCTCATTTCATTTTCTCTTGCAGACCTGATGGCCAAAGTCAACTCGACCCCGAAGAAGAAGGTTCAGACGAAGCTGAACGCGTCGGGTCAGACGATGGCTCCTCCTTCCGACCCCACGCTCAACGCTCCACGCAAGTTCTCAGGCTTCACCGGTAACAGACAGGGTTTCTTATTCATTCACAAGAGATGAAACAGAACTACACACTGGTCAATATAGCAACACAATTAACTAATGCATTCTGAGAGCCTAACATATATTATTCTCACATGGAGGATCATACCACACTTGGTCTCAAATATCATTTTCATCCACCTTGATAAACTTGTAAAATGTAAAAATACTGTTATGACCTGGCTCAAAAGGCCACAACAAAGAGGAGACACACCATATCAACTAATGACTTGCTTTATATTTTGTTACTGTACATTTGTAATTCCACATGTATATTTTCTACTTTCTAGTTTATTTCTTTACATTTTTATTGTACAATGCCATTATGCTGCTGCAACACAAACATGTCCCTAATTGTGATTTTTATCCCCCTTCACTGTTCTTTCAGCTACGAAGGCCGGCAGCTCCAGCAGCCCGGGTCCTTCCTCCTCTTCCTCTTCTCCCTCCTCTTCCTCGCCCAGCCAAGGCAGCGCTCTGTCCTCTCAGCTGTGCGACCGCAACCACAAGGACTGTCTGCTCAGAGAGTTCAGGAAGCTCTGTGCCACGGTGGCCGAACACAACAGCTACAACACCAAGACGCAGATCATCGAGAAGTTCCTCAGGAAGGGCTCCGCCGGAGGTGAGGGGGGTAGAAAGCACATTGTTTGTATTCATTGTGTTTATGGGGTTTAGCGTCTGACATAATCCACTGGCAGCACTTCCACAACTAAAGGTTTAAAGGGGACCTATCATGCAAAATGCACTTTTTCATGTCTTTCATACATAAATGTGTCCCCGGTGTGTCAGGGAACTCACGCAGCGTCAGAAAATAAAACCCTCTCTCTTTTCCTCCGTACCCAAATCTCTAAAAACGGGGGAACAACGGAGCTGATCCAGATTTGCGTCCGATATGACGTAATATCTGAAATGTGGACCCACGGCCCTATCAGAAACGTTGCTATCAGAAACAATGCCCGACTGTTTTGGACGTAATATGGTCGGTGTTTACATTAGCATGGCTAACACTCAGAGCTAACCTGTACTGGAGAGCATGTGTGTGAAGAAGCAGGAAATAAAAAGGAACTCACCTTGTGGTATAACCGGCAAGAGAGAAAGCCTTTGAGCTCCATACTGTTTCAGAAACAATCCTTGATGTGGTTTGGAACATGATGGTGTTTTATCACAGCAGAATTGAACTGTATCTCCTTGTAATTCTGATCAGGCTAAGGACCCAGATCAGCGTTTCTCTAACAGGAAGTGAAATAGAGGGATATGAGGGATGTCTAAAATGCGTGATTTGTTTGGTATTTTGAGCAAAACACTTAATAGAAATGTTTTTTATATATTTGTATATATCTGAGACCCATAATATATGCCTAAATATAGCATGATAGGAGACCTTTAAAATCATATCTTCTTGCATCCTAGATAAGTTCCACGGAGATCTTTTCCTGACGGTGAAGCTGCTCCTGCCGGGCGTCGTGAAAAGTGTCTACAACCTGAACGACAAGCAGATCGCTAAACTCTTCAGCCGCATATTCAAATGCAACCAGGACGACATGGTGCGCGACCTGGAGCAGGTACGTGTCCTCCCACATCAACTCTAAATAAATAAAAAGGTTTCAACCAAAACCACATAGGCTGAATGATTTATTTCAACGCTAACAACCTCCTTACTAGCATTTATTTAAAGCTGTTTCATTGATGTTCTTAGTTTGAAAACACATTTCTCAGAGGATTTAACTCCAAATATATTCTCTCGACGTGTCTGAACATTATGAACTAATCGTTTTGTTTTTAGGGCGATGTGTCTGAGACGGTGCGGATGTTCTTCGAGGAGAGTAAATCGTTTCCTGCGGCGTCCAAAAGCCTCCTCACCATACAGGAAGTGGACGCCTCGCTGACCCGCCTCGCGCTGCTGACCAAGGAGGACGAGCAGCAGATTGAGCTGGAGGAAATCTCCAAAAAGTAAATCACTACATCATAATTTCATAAGAAGTAGTCTGGGTATAAAACTGTACATTCAAGGTCATTCAGTAAAAGACAGTTCAATCATCTCCTTCCCCCAATCCAAATGGTTCTTGAAGACCTTACGAAGGGTCAATGCTGCGTTCACACAGGTTTTCCAATTTCATGAGACGTCCGAAGTCTTTAAAAGCATCATAGAGCGAGAATTTTCCCGGTTGAGATCTAATCTTTCCGACTGTTGTTCCGTGATTAAGATCCGCTTCAAAATTATGTGAGTTTTTCTTTGTCCCGTGCTTCACCTTTTTCACCAAGTTTCATAAAAGTCTGCCGTGAAGTTTTTCTGTACTTCTGCTGACAGACAGACAGACAGACAGACAGACAGACAGACAGACAGGCAGACAGACAGACAGACAGACAGGCAGACAGACAGACAGGCAGACAGACAGACAGACAGACAGGCAGACAGACAGACAGACAGACAGACACAGACAGACAGACAGACAGACAGACACACATACCCCTTTCACACCAAGGCTTTTCCCCTTCTAGCTCCGTGCTAGAGCTTTTCTGGTTCAGAACCGGTTCTTCGGTTTAGCGCCGGCTCTTTTCACACCGCTCAGAGCCCGACTGGTGCTGCCGCTGCTGCGTCATGACGTCACAGTTTACGTCGCTGAGTTTCTCCCCAACGGAGCTCACCTCACAACAACAACGGGCCGAGGACTGCGTCGGGTCGATGATCGTGTTGCTTTTAATCATACGAAGCCAGATTAAATTAAATAACGACTTCTCCAACCTTATACTTTTCTCCAGAGTGCCGTGGTTCATTGTTTATTAATGTGTTTCAGCGGCATTTACCGACCGCTGCAGTGCTGGCTGCTCTTCCACGGGAGTGTATTCTCCCGTTAGCTCCGGGTTAGCTCACACGGCTCTAAAGTATTCACTGTCTGACTGTCACACAAGCAGCTGATACATATCCCCAGTTCCCCTTAAGTGAATGTGTGTCAGTCTGAATTGACGCTGTTTGGTGTCAGTCTGAATTGACGCTGTTTGGCATCACAACGCTGTTATGAAAGTTTCTCTGGTATAACATGGGTGATGTTAGCATAGCAACCGAAGCTAAACTGACTACTTGCTAAGCCGTTTAAACAGGCACTTTTTACCGGCGTATTTTTCATTATGATTCTACTTGTGATAGTCGGACATGACAACCTGTGCAGCCCATGTATTGATTCCATCCGATAGCTGCTATAATAACAAACAAAACGTCTGCCTGCTCTCCACAATGATCAATAACAGCGAACGGATGGTCAAAGTAAGGTACAAATAAACAGAATCACATGAAGCCTGGTTAGTGTTGCCTGACTTTATAAAGCGTGTTTTTTTTTTACAAGTGTGTGGTTGCGTTCTAGTCACTTTGCTCAGCACTACTGCTGGTTACAACTTTTATTTGCCGTACTCGCCTTAACTGTTATCTCAGGTTAATCTCGCCCCCCTCCGACGTAAGCGGTTCTTGCTTCTACACGGACAACTTTTTGGTGCTCGAAACGAACCGGATTCCGGAGCTTAGAGGCTGCTCCGCTGCGGTGTGAACAGGAAAACCCGGTGCTTTTCAAGCACCAGCACCGAACCGGCCCCGAAACACCGTTGGTGTGAATGGGGTATCAGACACACACACACACACACACAGACAGACAGACAGACAGACAGACAGACACACAGAGACACAGAGACACAGACACAGACACACACACACACAGACACACACACACACACACACAGACACACACACACACACAGACAGACAGACAGACAGACAGAGACACACACACACACACACACACACACACACACACACACACACACACACAGACACACAACACACACACACACACACACACACACACACACACACACACACACACACACACACACACACACACACACACACACACACACACACACACACACACACACACACACACACACACACACACAGAGCCGTAAACATGACCTTTTGCTGCAGGTAATTATGGATGTGTGTCCTGGTGCATTAAGTACTCATCAGTGCACAAAATGCATGTCCCGCTGTTTTAGAAATTGCTTTGACATTTTTGTAAAACAAGAAAAAGGGAACTATAGATTTCTGACATCTATCAAACGTTGTGTTAAGAATACTTAAAAAGGGAATGTGTCTGGATGCTATTAACAGGGGGAGGAGAGTCAGACACAGCTTCACCCGATTTACTTAACGTCTTAATACTAACTTTTTCTCCTTGCAGTCGTACCTCTCCAAGTAATGTTTTTATTTTGGCTTTTCAGTTATAGTATAAAAAAGATAGCTGTTTTCTCCGGGTTAATATCTGGTAGATAGATTTCTTTTCACAGTATTTTTGAATCTGGCAAATCTTATTTTGTTCTTGTTTTGTGTGCTCTGCTATTTCATTGTTGGTATTTGTTGTGTTTGCTGTTTTCTCCTTGTTCCTGTTTGTCAGCCTGAGGCGTGTCTAACTCACAGACGTCTGTATTTGACATGTTTCCCTCCACAGCAGCAGATGCCAGAGAGGGATTGTGTTTATTTGTCAAATATAACATTTACAGCTGTAAACAGACAGAAGCAATATGTTGTGCTGTGCTGAATAACATGTCTACCTGTGTCATCATGGATAAGGCAGGTTGAATTTCTGTTAACGGTAGGGTAGGTAAGTTTGAGAAACCGGCTCGAGATACACTTTCTGTTATATTCCATGGAATGCTCTTAACATCCTGATAGCAATGAATATCTGAAGTGCTTTGACAAAAAATCCATAAAGAAATATCATCTGTGGAAGCTGTAGTACTGTAAAAAGCACGACCAATCATCTGAGCCGGCCCGGCTAAAATAACTGGATGGCCTACCTGCCTGTCAGCCTTCCATCTGTGCACAAACTTATCTCGTGCCCTCATTGGTCATGTGCGCGTTCGTGTGTGTTGGAGGAGGGGCTCTGTAAGGAAGTGGGAGATTTTCTCCGGTTGTGTATTTTCAAATTCTAGCGATCTCGAGCCGGTTTCTCAAACTTACCTACCCCACCTTTAATTAAAGTTTTTTTTTTATATAACATATACTTATTTAGATTTATTTTGGAGCATTCCTGCTAGATTCTTCCTTTGTGAAATGCTGTAATAAACCATAATTTGCTTAATCTGCTTCTCTTTTCCTCACAGATGCACCGGTAATGACTTGAAATGCATAATTCGCCTTATAAAACACGACCTCAAGATGAATTCTGGAGCTAAACACGTGTAAGTGTCCAACAATCTTTCACTAATGCACATTCTCAAAGATATTGAAGTGACTGTTATGTTGTATATATTGATTGTTGAGCTTTTATTTAGGTCTTAATGTGTGCATATGCATAAATGTGTCTTTGATTGTGTAGGATATATATATATATATATACATATTTTTTATATATATTTGTTTTTGTATTCGGGATTGTGGGAAACAGTATTTCGATCGCTCTGTCTGTACACACAAACTGGAAGAGTGACATTAAAGTTGACTTTGATATATCTTGAACTCCTCCTTGTGTGTTGTTCAGCCTGGACGCTGTGGATCCAAACGCTTACGATGCCTTCAAGGCCTCTCGTAATCTGGGAGACGTGATCGAGCGGGTGTTGAGGAACCAGCAGGACGCGACTAACGGCTCCGGACCCCGAAAACTCCTCACTGTGGAGGCATCTCTCATGACCCCCGTGCAGCCCATGCTGGTGAGTGACACTCCTGAAATGTGAAAAATCAATAAATACACTCACTGATTCAGTAATGTAGTGTGTATCAGATTCAATGCAACACTTTAAAGGGGCACTATTGTGTTTTGGGTTTTTTCCCCCTTTCCTGTGACGTGTTGTATAGGTTTGTGTGCATGTAAATGGTCTAAAAAGGCTACACTTTCTAAGCCGTTGACCAATCAGAGCAGACTGACACCTGAACATCATCAGGAGAGGACTCTTTAAAGTAGAGACACCACATACTGATATACACCTGAACATCATCAGGAGAGGACTCTTTAAAGTAGAGACACTACATACTGATATACACCTGAACATCAGCAGAAGAGGACTCTTTAAAGTAGAGACACTACATACTGATATACACCTGAACATCAGCAGGAGAGGACTCTTTAAAGTAGAGACACTACATACTGATATACACCTGAACATCAGCAGGAGAGGACTCTTTAAAGTAGAGACACTACATACTGATATACACCTGAACATCAGCAGGAGAGGACTCTTTAAAGTAGAGACACCACATACTGATATACACCTGAACATCAGTAGGAGTGGACTCTTTAAAGTAGAGACACTAAATACTGATATACACCTGAACATCAGCAGGAGAGGACTCTTTAAAGTAGAGACACTACATACTGATATACACCTGAACATCAGCAGGAGAGGACTCTTTAAAGTAGAGACACTACATACTGATATACACCTGAACATCAGCAGAAGAGGACTCTTTAAAGTAGAGACACCACATACTGATATACACCTGAACATCAGCAGGAGAGGACTCTTTAAAGTAGAGACACTAAATACTGATATACACCTGAACATCAGCAGGAGAGGACTCTTTAAAGTAGAGACACCACATACTGATATACACCTGAACATCAGCAGGAGAGGACTCTTTAAAGTAGAGACACTAAATACTGATATACACCTGAACATCAGCAGGAGAGGACTCTTTAAAGTAGAGACACTACATACTGATATACACCTGAACATCAGCAGGAGAGGACTCTTTAAAGTAGAGACACCACATACTGATATACACCTGAACATCAGCAGGAGTGGACTCTTTAAAGTAGAGACACTAAATACTGATAAACACCTGAACATCAGCAGGAGAGGACTCTTTAAAGTAGAGACACTACATACTGATATACACCTGAACATCAGCAGGAGAGGACTCTTTAAAGTAGAGACACTACACACTGATATACACCTGAACATCAGCAGGAGAGGACTCTTTAAAGTAGAGACACTACACACTGATATACACCTGAACATCAGCAGGAGAGGACTCTTTAAAGTAGAGACACCACATACTGATATACACCTGAACATCAGCAGGAGAGGACTCTTTAAAGTAGAGACACTACACACTGATATACACCTGAACATCAGCAGGAGAGGACTCTTTAAAGTAGAGACACCACATACTGATATACACCTGAACATCAGCAGGAGAGGACTCTTTAAAGTAGAGACACTACACACTGATATACACCTGAACATCAGCAGGAGAGGACTCTTTAAAGTAGAGACACCACATACTGATATACACCTGAACATCAGCAGGAGAGGACTCTTTAAAGTAGAGACACTACATACTGATATACACCTGAACATCAGCAGGAGAGGACTCTTTAAAGTAGAGACACTACATACTGATATACACCTGAACATCAGCAGGAGAGGACTCTTTAAAGTAGAGACACTACATACTGATATACACCTGAACATCAGCAGGAGAGGACTCTTTAAAGTAGAGACACTACATACTGATATACACCTGAACATCAGCAGGAGAGGACTCTTTAAAGTAGAGACACTACATACTGATATACACCTGAACATCAGCAGGAGAGGACTCTTTAAAGTAGAGACACTACACACTGATATACACCTGAACATCAGCAGGAGAGGACTCTTTAAAGTAGAGACACCACATACTGATATACACCTGAACATCAGCAGGAGAGGACTCTTTAAAGTAGAGACACCACATACTGATATACACCTGAACATCAGCAGGAGAGGACTCTTTAAAGTAGAGACACTAAATACTGATATACACCTGAACATCAGCAGGAGAGGACTCTTTAAAGTAGAGACACCACATACTGATATACACCTGAACATCAGTAGGAGAGGACTCTTTAAAGTAGAGACACTAAATACTGATATACACCTGAACATCAGCAGGAGAGGACTCTTTAAAGTAGAGACACCACATACTGATATACACCTGAACATCAGCAGGAGAGGACTCTTTAAAGTAGAGACACTACATACTGATATACACCTGAACATCAGCAGGAGAGGACTCTTTAAAGTAGAGACACTAAATACTGATATACACCTGAACATCAGCAGGAGAGGACTCTTTAAAGTAGAGACACTACATACTGATATACACCTGAACATCAGCAGGAGAGGACTCTTTAAAGTAGAGACACCACATACTGATATACACCTGAACATCAGCAGGAGAGGACTCTTTAAAGTAGAGACACTACATACTGATATACACCTGAACATCAGCAGGAGAGGACTCTTTAAAGTAGAGACACTACATACTGATATACACCTGAACATCAGCAGGAGAGGACTCTTTAAAGTAGAGACACTACATACTGATATACACCTGAACATCAGCAGGAGAGGACTCTTTAAAGTAGAGACACTACATACTGATATACACCTGAACATCAGCAGGAGAGGACTCTTTAAAGTAGAGACACTACATACTGATATACACCTGAACATCAGCAGGAGAGGACTCTTTAAAGTAGAGACACTACATACTGATATACACCTGAACATCAGCAGGAGAGGACTCTTTAAAGTAGAGACACTACATACTGATATACACCTGAACATCAGCAGGAGAGGACTCTTTAAAGTAGAGACACTACATACTGATATACACCTGAACATCAGCAGGAGAGGACTCTCCTTGCATACTTTTAGAAGTATTTTCTGCCTTTTCAGATGTCTAGCCTCCTCTCTTTTTTTACACGTCACACTTCTTTCCAGCTGTGCCACAGTTGTGTTCCTGTTATCTTGGTACTTTTTTGTTTCTTTCCGATAGCGATAATGGCCAAAAGCACAAAAATATAAAGCAAATTGTTAAAATAACTTCAATTCTCGAGTGGATGTGAAAGTTGAGTTTCTGCGACAGCAAAGTCAAAAACAGAAGCTCACTTTTGACTTTGGAGCAACTTTTAGGAAACTTTGAATGAAAAGTAAGTGAGAATCTGTTCATTACTGACAGCTTGTTGTTGTTTTGTCTTTTGTGTTTTTTCAGGCAGAGGCATGTAAATCCATCGAGTACGCCATGAAGAAATGTCCCAATGGGATGTACTCGGAGATCAAATACGACGGAGAACGTGTGCAGGTCCACAAGAACGGAGACATCTTCAGCTACTTCAGCCGCAGCCTGAAGCCAGTGCTGCCACACAAAGTCAGTGTACACACACACACACACACACTCACACACACACACAACACACACACACACACACACACACACACACACACACACACACACACACACGACACACACACACTCACACACACACTCACACTCACACGTCACACTCACACTCACACACACACACACTCACACTACACACACGCACGCACACGCACACTCACACACACACACACTCACACGCACACGCACACTCACACTCACACTCACACCACACACAAGCACACAGCACTCACACTCACCACTCACACCTCGACCGCACCCCACACGCACTCACACTCACACTCAACCACCTCACACTCACACACACACACACTCACACTCACAATCACACTCACACTCACACACACACACACTCACACTCACACTCACACTCACACTCACACACACACACACTCACACTCACAGCATGAGAGGCTGAATCCCAATTAGTATGACAGTGCGTGTCAGAGGAGGATCTGCTCAGCGATGTCCCTGCAGGGTTAGCGACTCCAAGGTATTTTCCCAGCGTGTAATTCAGAATTCCCCCTCGAGGTTTTCCAGCATTTGCTCCCTCAGCGTGAGGCCGGGAGCCTCAAACATGCACGGATAAATAGCTCCACATGATGATCATTAGCTCGTTCAAACCACGAGAGGTAGCTGCTGAACACACAATATTTATCTCCAAACCCCAGGACACTTCAGAGAGGAAATCAAGAGGAATATAGGCTTTTTGTGTGAGTGACGATATGCAGGAATATATCCAAATGCTAAAGGACGGTCTCTCTATTTTCTCTCACTACTGCAGGCTTTTTAAAGAGGACATATTAGGCTCATTTTCAGGTTCATATTAGTATGTTGTGCCTCTTCTGTGACATAACCAGTACAGGAGAAGAAAACCCCCAAAAACCACGGATGTATAATAAGAACTGGATACAGCGTGGGAGGCGGGGCCTCGTTCTTTCCTATGAGAGTTGCTCATTGGCACATGAAGACAAAATGGCCCAACTTTTGAGAGAGCGAAACGTCACAAAAGTATTCATATAATCATATAATACGTTCTTATTGTGCATCCATGGGTAAAGGTAAAACTCATGTAGTACTGAACACGTCACATGAACGTGCCGGGCGGCGCGGTCCCGTGGGTTAGTTCATAATGCAGAGGAAAATAACTCAGAATAACGTTATTAGCACATTTTACAACTTGAGGACCGAATGTTTTTTAATAAGGGCTATACAAACGTTCATACTGGGTAGTTTATTTAGTTTAAAAAAAATTATCCAACGATTTACAGACGTCTCTTTCCCAATGTAAGTCAATGGGAAAAAGTCTTTCCGGGCCCAGCGACTGATACGAAAGTGTAGTACCGCCGTTTGGCCACAACGAATATTTCCCTCAGAGTCCGGCGCACTTCCTGGGGGCTTGCCAAAAACACACATTAGTTTTGATGAGGATATCTGGAGTTTCTGAATCACTGCTCCATATCTACTCTGGACTCTTTAGACAATGTGTTTTTACTGTATCAAGCCTATTGTAAAATGCTTTATAAGTTGTTTCAAATGCGTCACATGTCCGCTCAGTTTTCTCACCGCTGTGTGTGTGTTTTGTGTCTCAGGTGGCACATTTCAAGGAGTTCATCCCTCAGGCGTTCGTGGGAGGCGAAAACATGATCTTAGACGCTGAGGTGCTTCTGATCGACACCAACACTAGCAAGCCTCTGCCCTTTGGGAGCCTGGGAGTTCACAAGGTGAGAGCACAGCAGCCATTAATCTCCTTTTTTCATTCTTTTATTTCCCGTCTACATGATTTACACTTTCCTCTCCCTGCAGAAAACGGCCTTCCAAGATGCCAAAGTGTGCCTTTTTGTCTTTGACTGCATCTACTTCAACGGCGTGAGTCTCATGGAGAGGTAATGTGTGCTCATTCAGAAAAAGGTGCTGATTGTAATGATGCAAGCATGCACTTTTTATTGTTTTAAAGTCACTCACACTGAAGCCTTTGTTCTGTCTTACTGTTTTGCCCTTTCTTGTTTTAAAAGTTTACGTTAAGTAGTTTTACTTCAGATTTTCTACACTCTTAAAACTAGTCCTACAATGTCTGCTTGGAGTAACATTTATGAAGCATATTTAAAGAAATTAAAGAGCTTTGGTTGATTAATTGTGTAAAATATATCAACCTACATTTGAAAGTTCCTACGTAGTTAAAGTGGACCTATCATGCTATATTTGAATAATATAGTGTCGGACCATACCTATATAAGGCATATTTATACTTTTTTTTTTTCAAAATACCAAACAGATCATGCATTTTAGCCATGCCTCATTTCGCTCAATTTGACAATTTATAGCTCTGTTTTTGCAAGGGCTGATTCAGTGAGAACAGCACCATCTACAGGCCTGGCATATGTACTACAGCGTCTCCAGCGCTTTCGAACGGCAATGGCCGTGGCTGTCTCCTCCTGATTGGTGGAGTTGGCCCAATAGCCGTAGCGCCACCGTCCTGACGTCAGGACAGTGTTCAAATCTGGATCAGTTTTTATCAGATCCGTTGCAGCCCCTTTTTTAGAGATTTGGGTATGGAGGAAAATAGAGAGGGTTGTGTTTTCTGACACTTGGTGAGTTCCCTGGAACACCGGGGACACATATTCATGTAGAAAAGACGTACAAAAGTGCATTTTGCATGATAGGTCCCCTTTAAGAAACAACAATTATTTCCCCCCAAATGTTTTATCAATCATATAAACACACACACACTAAAGCACAACAGTATTTCTTCTCATGATCATGATGATTCATTCTAGATAAATAGAAGTACAATCTGCCTGACATTTATTTCAAGGCTTGACCACCACACATAGCTTTCACTTTCACATAGACATGTATATCTATGTATTCATAATTATCTTCACTCATATCTGTTTATAACTCAACTACCACGTTTCACCTATTCCTCTGTTGTCACTTCTATCTTTGCTGTTTTCTTCAGTTTCTTTATTCTCATCGTATTATTCTGCTGCTGCTAAAACACCTGATTTCCCTTAAGAGATGATTAAAGTGTTTTCTTTGATCTTCTCCTCTCTCCTGATGTCCTGCAGGCCTCTGAGTGAGCGCAGGAAGTTCCTGCGAGACAACATGGTGGAGGTTCCCAACAGGATCCTGTTCTCAGAGATGAAGCACGTCACTGTGAGGAAAACTCTGACATCACTTGGCTTACGACTGTCATAATACAAGTGCAATAGCTCATCATATCGTGTGTGTGTGTGTGTGTGTGTGTGTGTGTGTGTGTGTGTGTGTGTGTGTGTGTGTGTGTGTGTGTGTGTGTGTGTGTGTGTGTGTGTGTGTGTGTGTGTGTGTGTGTGTGTGTGTGTGTGTGTGTGTGTGTGTGTGTGTGTGTGTGTGTGTGTGTGTGTGTGTGTGTGTGTGTGTCAGAGGGCGGGAGATCTGGCAGACATGATCACTCGAGTCATCAGAGAGGGACTGGAGGGCCTCGTGCTCAAAGACCTGAAGGTGAGTAGAGAACCAACATGGAAATTACTGTCTAATCTGTTGAAGGATTCTGAAAATGTGTAAAATGTTACACTTCATGATTAATGGTGTGTGTGTGTGTGTGTGTGTGTGTGTGTGTGTGTGTGTGTGTGTGTGTGTGTGTGTGTGTGTGTGTGTGTGTGTGTGTGTGTGTGTGTGTGTGTGGTGTGTGTGTGTGTGTGTGTGTGTGTGTGTGTGTGTGTGTGTGTGTGTGTGTGTGTGTGTGTGTGTGTGTGTGTGTGTGTGTGTGTGTGTGTGTGTGTGTGTGTGTGTGTGTGTGTGTGTGTGTGTGTGTGTGTGTGTGTGTGTGTCAGGGCACGTATGAGCCGGGGAAGCGTCACTGGCTGAAGGTGAAGAAGGATTATCTGAATGAAGGAGCGATGGCCGACACCGCGGACCTGGTGGTGCTGGGAGCTTTCTACGGGAAGGGATCAAACGGTGTGTGAAGCCACAAACATCCACTGTCAATGTGTGTGTGTGTGTGCTTTAATCCTGTAAGAAAAAGTGTGACTGGGGACATCCTTCAGTTTACTGAGACACATTAGTATACAGTACACTACAAAAACCTTTACATTCTTGAAAAGAAACTGATTTCTCAATAGTTTTGCATAAAAGATTAATGAATAAAACATACATTTGATTTTTCTATGAAAGAACAGTTGCAAAAAATGTATTCTGAGTGAATATCGTGCACGTGGAGAGAGGTAGAATAACATGCAGTGTGATGACGAGCTTATAAACAACGAATCGGATGAGACCAATTGTCAGAAGTGGGAAGTAGAACTGCGGCTGTGAAAAAGTCCCAAAGAGGTGGATTTAAGAAGACTAGTTTTGGGAAGTTAAGTGAAATTATAAAGTGTGGTAGTATCAATATATCCTCAGGTAACACTTCCCCTCTTCTTCATGTCTCTTCTACATCAACATGTGTCCCCTCTTCTTCATGTCTCTTCTACATCAACATGTGTCCCCTCTTCTTCATGTCTCTTCTACATCAACATGTGTCCCCTCTTCTTCATGTCTCTTCTACATCAACATGTGTCCCCTCTTCTTCATGTCTCTTCTACATCAACATGTGTCCCCTCTTCTTCATGTCTCTTCTACATCAACATGTGTCCCCTCTTCTTCATGTCTCTAATGCCCTTCTTCAGTTCATCAACATGTGTCCCCTCTTCTTCATGTCTCTTCTACATCAACATGTGTCCCCTCTTCTTCATGTCTCTTCTACATCAACATGTGTCCCCTCTTCTTCATGTCTCTTCTACATCAACATGTGTCCCCTCTTCTTCATGTCTCTTCTACATCAACATGTGTCCCCTCTTCTTCATGTCTCTTCTACATCAACATGTGTCCCCTCTTCTTCATGTCTCTTCTACATCAACATGTGTCCCCTCTTCTTCATGTCTCTTCTACATCAACATGTGTCCCCTCTTCTTCATGTCTCTTCTTCATCAACATGTGTCCCCTCTTCTTCATGTCTCTTCTTCATCAACATGTGTCCCCTCTTCTTCATGTCTCTTCTTCATCAATATGTGTCCCCTCTTCTTCATGTCTCTTCTTCATCAACATGTGTCCCCTCTTCTTCATGTCTCTTCTACATCAACATGTGTCCCCTCTTCTTCATGTCTCTTCTACATCAACATGTGTCCCCTCTTCTTCATGTCTCTTCTACATCAACATGTGTCCCCTCTTCTTCATGTCTCTTCTACATCAACATGTGTCCCCTCTTCTTCATGTCTCTTCTTCATCAACATGTGTCCCCTCTTCTTCATGTCTCTTCTTCATCAACATGTGTCCCCTCTTCTTCATGTCTCTTCTACATCAACATGTGTCCCCTCTTCTTCATGTCTCTTCTACATCAACATGTGTCCCCTCTTCTTCATGTCTCTTCTACAATCAACATGTGTCCCCTCTTCTTCATGTCTCTTCTACATCAACATGTGTCCCCTCTTCTTCATGTCTCTTCTACATCAACATGTGTCCCCTCTTCTTCATGTCTCTTCTACATCAACATGTGTCCCCTCTTCTCCATGTCTCTTCTACATCAACATGTGTCCCCTCTTCTTCATGTCTCTTCTTCATCAACATGTGTCCCCTCTTCTTCATGTCTCTTCTTCATCAACATGTGTCCCCTCTGTGTAAAGAGACTCTGAAAGTTTCAGGAACAAAGATTCGCTCTCTTTTTGTCCTGATCCATTTCTATAAAAACCTGTCTGAAAATGAGCTGATCAGATTTTGGCCACTTTATGATGTCATAACGATGTTTTGGCTTGTGTTACCATTAGCCAATCAGCAACCAAGGTAACCCCCCCCCCCCCACCTTATCACCTGAATCTCCTCCTAGAGCACCATTGAGTTCTTTTTAACCAAATCTCTCTTAGAGGGGCGTGGGGAGGGGCTCCTTATTTTCATCTAAAGTAACAGACAGAGAATCAGCACTTTGGAAACAGGGCTGAAACAGAGGGGATTATGGGATGCTGCAATGATCTGTTTGGTGTTTCAGCCAATCAGAGACAGGCTCTGGATATATCTGAGACCTGTGATATATTGATGAAAAACAGTATAATAGGGGACCTTTAAGTGAAATTATAAAGTGTAGTAGTATCTATATATCCTCAGGTAACACTCCCCCCTAATGTCCCTCCTAATGCAATGTGTGTGTTCTCCCACCAGGGGGCATCATGTCCAGTTTCCTGCTGGGATGTTACGACCCTCACTCTAAGAAGTGGTGCACCGTCACTAAGTGCTCCGGCGGCTTCGATGACGCCATGTTGGCTCGACTCCAGAAGGAGCTGGACATGATCAAAATCAGCAAGGTCAGCACAAATCCACCTGCCGGCCACACTGAGCCAGGCAGTAACCGTCAAGTCTTCTCTGATTTCTCCCCACTTGAAAGGGACTTGAAACATCTACTGGACTTTGAACAGGATTCCACTCCAATGACACAGTTACTTTGACTTTTTCAGTCTTTTATTTCAGCAGTTTTACTTTAAACAAACTTCCATTTAGTTGCTGAATGGGTCTTTTAGGTGAAAAACCTTTGAAGACAAGAAAGATGCATTTAGGCTACTTGCAATAGTTATTAAAATAAATAAATCATGCAAACAATACACGGACACTGCTGCCTTATTTACGAATATTTTACAAATAAACTGGGCAGACTGAACTCATTTTAAACATGAGATCAATCTCTAAACCAAAGCTTTTTTTTTTAAATCTCAGCAAATTTAATGAACTGGATTTTATTAGAAATGTTTTTATCGAATCAAAATAATTATTTGTAATTCCAGATTTAGTAATTGTCCAAACATCCTGTGTGTGTGTGTGTGGTGTGTGTGTGTGTGTGTGTGTGTGTGTGTGTGTGTGTGTGTGTGTGTGTGTGTGTGTGTGTGTGTGTGTGTGTGTGTGTGTGTGTGTGTGTGTGTGTGTGTGTGTGTGTGTGTGTGTGTGTGTGTGTGTGTGTGTGTGTGTGTGTGTGTGTGTGTGTGTGTGTGTGTGTGTGTGTGTGTGTGTGTGTGTGTGTGTGTGTCTTTGTGTAGGAACCCAGCAAAATCCCCGGCTGGATAAAAGTCATCAAGAACTATTATCCAGATTTCATTATCCGGGATCCTCAGGTGAGATTACACTTTTACACACATTAGTATTTCCCACATGAAAACTACAGTAGTATATGTGCCGCCCTTTAAATGAAGCCATGAGCATCTCTTGCATATCTCTTTCTTCAGATAAATGACTCTAAATTGCTTAGAGATTATAAGTAACAGAGCGAAGAACCTTAAAATAGTCCAACGTGAAAACCCTTTAGTTTCTGAGATTGAAAATATTTGATTGAAATGATTTCTTAGTAAGAAAATAGTGATGAATTCTCCACACTTCCTTTCTTTAACAGTAATAGTCCTGTACCCCAGACAGTACAGACAGTTGGAATTGCTTTATTTTTCATTTCCTGGTTATATTACTCCTTGTATTTCTGTTTCCTCCGCTGCAGAAAGCTCCGGTCTGGGAGATCACCGGCGCAGAGTTTTCCAAATCAGAAATGCACACGGCTGACGGCATCTCCATCCGATTCCCCCGCATGACGCGCATCCGAGACGACAAGGACTGGAAGACCGCCACCAACCTAGAGCAGCTCAGGGTGGGATATCTGCCTTTCATTATATACACGTGCTGCTGCCGGGATGTGATGCATTGGTGGAAATACATATCGGTCAGAGGGCAGGAATAGTTGATAGTTGTGTGGAATTTAACGGCAAAAGTTTTTAATTATAGTAAAAGTCTATTTTATAATATATTTTGTACTATTATTTAATCAAAGTATATATTATACATACCTGATCATATACTGCTCACTCAGTAAGTTTGTGTTTTACAGTGGATTTAAACTTATTCCGTATATTTGATGTGTATCCATAGATAGATATTTAGCTTTTTACTGTTGACGTGTATATATGAACTGTTTGTGTTCATGTTGTTATATTTCTAACTCATATGCAATGCCGTGTTAACATGCTGCTAAAGAAACGAAAGTAAACATGATCAACTTTTATTAAAAGGACATAACTGAGGTAAAAAAAGGCAAACTTATCCAATTTAACAAGTTAATGGAGTCATTCCATCAATAATGTGTGTCAGACCTTTGTTTCTCTACTTCATTACGTTACATTGCATTGAGCTGAGGCTTTTATCCAAAGCGACTTACAATAAGTGCATTCGACCAAGAAGATACAAACTTTGAAGAATCAAATCAAGTTTCAAATCAAATCAAGTTTTATTTATATAGCACATTTAAAAGCGATTTTTGGTCGAGCCAAAGTGCTGTACATGGAATAAAAACACATTACTACAATCACAATAAAAGACAATAATATAGAAATATAAAAAACAGGGAATAGTCAGGAGTCGTGCTCCGCTCTGACTAGAAGGCCAGATAGTCCAGTCTCAAGGTAACAAAGGCATTAATAACCCTTTCTAGATCTTTAAAAGATAAATACGACTTGGTTTTGGCCAATAATCTTATTTAAAAAAAGAAAACAGAATCATATAAGTTCATCAGGTTTCAAGTGCTACTCAACTGGCTTTAGATAAGCGAGTCCTTTGTTAGTATATAAGTGCTGTGTTAGTAATTCTCTCACTCCAAGTGGAGTCGAAAGAGATGAGTTTTCAGTCTGCGCTGGAAGATGTGTAAGCTTTCTGCTGTCCTGATGTCAATGGGGAGCTCATTCCACCATTTTGGAGCCAGGATAGCAAACCCACGTGTTTCTGCTGATGGGAACTCGGGTCCCCCTCGCAGTGAGGGTGCAGCGAGCCGTTTGGCCGATGCAGAGCGGAGTGCACGTGCTGAAAAACATTAGTGTCATTTATATAATAGTACATCAAAAACTAAGTCCTATCTCTTCAGAACGAGTACTTTTACTTCTGATCATTTAAAGGTGGGGTAGGTAAGTTTGAGAAACCGGCTCGAGATACACTTTTTGTTATATTCCATGGAATGCTCTTAACATCCCGATAGCAATGAATATCTGAAGTGCTTTGACAAAAAATACATAACAAAAATGTCATCTGTGGAAGCTGTAGTACTGTAAAAAGCACGACCAATCATCTGAGCCGGCCCGGCTAAAATAACTGGATGGCCTACCTGCCTGTCAGCCTTCCATCTGTGCACAAACTTATCTCGTGCCCTCATTGGTCATGTGTGCGTTCGTGTGTGTTGGAGGAGGGGCTCTGTAAGGAAGTGGCAGATTTTCTCCGGCTGTGTATTTTCAAATTCTAGCGATCTCGAGCTGGTTTCTCAAACTTACCTACCCCACCTTTAAGTACATTTAGCTGATTCTGTACTTTTACTGAAGTGAGCTTTTCAATGCAGGACTTTTACCTGTAATGGAGTATTTTGACTTGAATGTGGTGGTACTTTTACTAAAGTACATGATCTGAATACTTCAAACACTGGTGAACGTGTTCCTCCTGTCTGAAGCTCGTGTTTCTTCTCTCTTCAGGAGCTGTTCCGCATCTCGAAGGAGAACTGTGACTTTAAAGTAACGGCCGGACCCTCGGCTAACGACGGGAAGGGATCCTCAGGAGACAGCGGAGGAAGCTCCCCCTCCTCATCCTCACATGGAGCCCCTCCACCCAAGAAGACCAGTGAGTGCTTCACCCACACAAACTCATAGTATGTGGAAACATATGAGAATACTCTCGGTATAGTTTGTTGAAAACGAGTTATAGTACAGTATGTCAAAAAAGATGAAGTATACAGTAGTACAAGTACAATTAGTAAAGTATGGCAAAACATTTTTGTAAAATGTCAAATTATAAAAGTTGCAAAAGGAAAAAGTCATATGAAAGTAGGTCAGAAATTAAAACCCACAAAATGTCATTTGATCTTAGAACGGCATCCTCAATTGGAATTTTTTAGTAAATTAAAGACTTATCTTTTTAACTTGGCTTATCATTTTAAGTATGTTCATGTTTTATTGTTTTTACATATTTTAATTATGTTCCTCATTTGTTATTGTGAATTTTCTGTCATACTCCGTAGAGCACTTTGGGCTGCGTCAAGCATGAAAGGTGCTATATAAATAAAGTTTATTATATTATAGTTTGCAGACATTTTTTTGTAAAACAAGTAGGGATGCTCCGATCGATCGGCCGCTGATCGATATCGGCCGATATTCATTCTCTGCCGATCGATCGGTGCTCTCTATAAATGCCGATCAGGAGAGCCGATCACATGACGTAAAATACATGACACTTTTCTCTCGCCAAAATGGCTTCACCGGTCTGGCAGTATTTTAAGGTGTCCGAAAAAGACAGTAAAATAGCGGTATGCAACGTGTGTGTGAAGCAGAAATCCTGCAGCTCCACCCGCTGTGACGGACCGGTGAGCGGAGCAGAACACACACTAAGAGTTAGACCTAACACACTTAGCTATTTTATCTACCTCTGGAACTAGCTAAACTAGTTATACATATATTTATTCTTCACTGTCGGGTCACTCATTACTGGATCAGTGAGCTGCATGAGACGATGACAGGCTGTCAGGAGAGAGGGAGAGAGAGAGAGAGAGAGAGAGAGAGAGGGAGAGTTATTATCCAAAGTTAATGTAAACTTGAATAATGTACTTCATTTGAATGTAATAATTATGTTGGTTGTTGTTTGTGGGAGCTCCAGATTCCCCTGGGAGCATTTCCCCTTCCACTAGTTTTGTTTTTAATAAGGACGAGAGCTTGAAACAAAATATGAATAAAACGCTGCCGTTTGAATCGATAGCGTTTAACAGACGGGCGCTGTTTGGGGCGTTACGTTACGAAATACTACGCAGACAGCGCTAAACTAAACTAAACTATGCGGTACTATTAAATCCACATAAACTACACATCACAGCAAAGAGGCCAGATCAATGAAACCAGGATGCATCCTTTACCATCAAACTGGATCTAAACACAGCTGCCTGTGAGCTTGATCAATACTTTCTGATGTTATATTTATGATATGCTACTTATCAGCTACATGGCCCTAACGTGTGAAGTTATACAAGCATTTGTACCAGTGCTTTTCACACGTAGACTCTTGCTGGCCAGAGGAGCTGGAGTGAGTCAACAACAACACACAGACATATCTGAGAAGTGATCAGGATGAGTAGAAAGAGGAAAAGGAAAAGACAGATGAAGAGACCAGGAGGGTCAGAGCAGGAGACGAAGAGACCAGGAGGGTCAGAGCAGGAGGAAGAGGAGGAGATGAAGAGACCAGGAGGGTCAGAGCAGGAGGAAGAGGAGGAGATGAAGACATTAGTGAAGAAGAAGACATGTATGTGAGGAATAAAGATGAAGTGTCAGAAAGAGGGACAGAGGCAGGGATCAGGAGGCAGAGGAGACTCCAGCTGGACCACATGGTATGTTCTTATTCTCCTCACATATTCCATCACAGCAGCACAATCTAGCAGCTCTTAGTATAGACACATATTGAAATGTGTTGCTGCACAGGTCACCTTTAGCTCTCTGAAGAGATGGGTGATGTTATTTGTGTACTTCATTATAACTAAGAAGCTTTACTGTACGTACAGTAAACAGAGTTCTAGGTATCATGAGTATTTTCTGCTGTTTTATACCATATGTTAGTTTGTTGTTCTGAACACCTTGTTTCTCTTGTGCATTAAGAACACTTGTGTTAGGGCATGATTTAACAATAAATAGGTTATACAGTATAAAATACCACGTACTTGTCCGCCCTCCCATGCCACCCTGGCATGACCTCTTTGCCCCATGTAAAATGTTCTAGAACCGCCACTGAGTAGTAGTACAAGTAGTATAGTATGTCCAATTGTTTTTGTAAATTATAGTATGTTGCAAAAGGAAAAAGTCACAGTAAAGTAGGTCGAAAAATCTTGTAAAAGAAATCATAGTATAGTATGACAGCATTTTTTTTAAAGAAAGTCAGTAAAGTATGTCGAAAAATATCGTGAAGTCATCAGGTAAAATGTTGTATGCACTTCATGTTTATTTCTGCAAAACCTGTACGAACAACTTTAATTTGACAAGTAAAACAGGAAGAAATGTGGTGACTGCATCAAACACACAAAACAACGACCCGTGTGATGATGTTGATTAAACCAAATCAAATGTTTTATGCACTTCATGTTTATTTCCGTACGAAACACCTACATTTGACAAGTAAAACAGAAACACTCTGCATTAAACACACACAAAACGACCTATTTAGATGTCAGATCTGCATTTTTCTGATATCTCATGAATCACATGCTCTCTCTCTCTCTCAGACCCCAGGACCCCCAAACCAAAGCCGATCAAATCTGAGCCTCGCACTCCTGGATACGACACTCCCAGTGCCAAGAAGGTATGAAACTCACAGCACTATGTTGATGTTAATTATCGCAGACATCTTGATGGACTAACGGTTCTGTTTCCCCTCAGGTGAAGGTGGAGGTGAAGGTGGAGAAGGAGGTGAAGATGGAGAAGATGGAGAAGGAGGTGAAGACTGAGAGCGTTCACAGTAACGGGAAAACACAAAACAAACCAACGGCTCAAATCCTGAAGCCTAGGAACGATAAGGTTGGTCATGTGACTTTCAACAAATAAGACAACACATTCAAATGTTTCTTTTGTATGTAAAACTATTAACATTCTGCAGTTTAAGAGGTTAAATGGCTCTTTAGTTTAAAATGTCGCAACACGGCACATGGAGTTATAAACAAATAGTTAAAAAGGTCAAACTAAGAGCTCCCGAGTGATGCTAATAATTCCTTATTTTACAGGAAGTGTTCAGTTCACTGTGGTTACTAATTACACCGTTAAACCTGTGTTTGATTTTCCAATTAACTTTGATTCACCTTGAGATGTATGACTATAAACAAGCCCAAAAGAGCGAGAAACAAGCCTTCAAAAAATCAGGAAGGCTGTGAACAAATCAAAGTTAATTGGGAAATGAAACAAACCTAAAAGCTTGTGTTTCTTGGTCTATTGGGCGTATTTATAATCATGACAGCATAACATGTCAGCGCTAAACAATTGAAACCCAAACTGTCTCATTTAACGTGCCCTGAATACTAGGCTGTATTTACAAAGCTCACAAAGAAAAGTATTTAAAGTCACTCGACTGATAAATAACAACATCATACATTCGAACACGTGACAATCCCGTAAAAAATGCATGTGAAACGTAGCTTGATTTTTCACAGATTGATATATTTCCCAGAGAGAACGATATAATAACTTCAGTGTGTTTCCCTCAGACGCTGCTGGACATCTTCAGCGGCGTGAAGCTCTTCCTGCCCTCCTCGGTGCAGGACTTCGACAAACTGAGGCGGTACTTCGTGGCGTACGACGGAGACCTGGTGGCCGACTTCGAAGTCTCCATGGCAACGCACACGCTGGGCGCCCCCGGCGACGACAGCTCGGCTCACAAAGTGACGCCCAGCTGGATCTGGGAGTGTATCCGCAAGAGGCGTGTCGTCCCTGCCTGTTGAAATATACAACACACTGTTAAGCGTTTTTTTAAGAGAAAGGGTGTGGACACTAAAGGCTTCCTTATCGTGCCCAAGGCTTTAATTACTCACACTGCTATCAGGTCGTTTTATTTATTCTTTCCAAGCAGAGAATACATTAGGTTTGGGCTTTTTAGTTTTATCATTTTGAATACTGGGGATAGATGGTTGTAGTTAGGGTTTACTGACGACAGTGTGTATGAGAGAGTGTCCTGTCGAAGTAGTTTTTGTAAGAACATGACGTTGAAGCAGCTACACATGAAATGCATTTTACAAACATCATGTAACAAACCTCGGTAAAGGCCTGGAAATGAATACGCAGCAGAAAAAATATCGTGCATTATTTTTACCGCCTGAGTGGAACATTTTGCGAGCGATTAAACCCCGGCTCAAGAACTGAGAAAAGAATGATTTGTCTGCCGAGAGGAATAAACAAAATGCTGATAAATAAAATAAAATGTCTCCTCCGTGACTTCATGCTTTGTCTTTTGTGTAAATTGTGCTCGCAGCAGTTTGTACTGTACAGGAGAAGTGGAAGGATTATAGATGATAATGGATTTGCATTTATATAGCGCCCATGTACAAGGTGCCAAACTGCTCGTCGTCTAATGTAATGCTAATTCATTGCTGACATAACAACTGTCCTCCAGAAATTACCATCATATGCAGAGTTTGCACAGGAAACCTGAATTAATGATACATCAAATTGACCTCTTTGTTATAAGAATTTAGTTGTATGTGCTTGTACAATCACCTTAAAAAGTGGTGAGGGGTATGTTTACATTGTTTTACATTACATGTCACTTATCCAATCCCCACAGGAGCAATTTGGGGAGAAGTGTCTTGCCCAGTTGAAATAGTCATACAGTTATAGTCAGGGTTGGGTTGTAACGAGAATACAAAAATCAAGTAACTGTATTCAGCTCGCGTTACATTTGAAAAACGAGTAATCTGATTATAGTTACTTTCGTAAACCTGAAGTGAATACATTTTGGAATACTTATTGGAATTATTGGTGGAAAAGTTTCCTCACAAAAGAGAGAGAGAGAGAGAGAGAGAGAGAGAGAGAGAGAGAGAGAGAGAGAGAGAGAGAGAGAGAGAGAGAGAGAGAGAGAGAGAGAGAGAGAGATATGCAGCGTGTCTGAGGCCCCGCCCCCGCACGCAAATGAGAGATATGCAGCGTATCTGAGGCCCCGCCCCCGCACGCAGATGTGAGAGAGATCTCTTTTAAAATATATTGAAAGTTAGAAACGGAGATGGTTAGATAAAATGTGCAAGATAACGTTTATGTAGCATTTCTTTATTGTTGAAATGATGACATTTGATAACGGGATGAAATCAAAGTGAATGGCCTGCTGCTGCTGAATGCATCGGGCAAGGGACTGGAACAAGTTAAAACAATATTTTACATCGTTACATATAATAAATAATAATGATAATTCATTCTATTTAGGGGGCGCCTTTCAAAGCACCCAAGGACACTTTACAACTCATAACATATTCTAAGGAAAGGTTTTAAGACAGGACAAAGAATGCAGTCCGGGGGATGTTCTTTATGTGGGCTGTGGGGTGCAGATGAGAGGGAGCTGTCCAGAATGACACCAAGATGTCGTGTTTGAGCTCTTGATAAGCCATTAAAACAGTAGAATACGTGTCTCCTGTGCACCCAAACATACCCATCTGTTATGGAAAAAGAAAGTATTCCAAAAGTATTCTAAAAGTAATCTGAATACGTAACTGTAACTATATTCAGATTACTTTCAGAGTTCTGTATTCAGTAACTAATTACATTTACAAAGTAACCCTAACCCAACCCTGGTTGTAGTGTAGTATGTTGAAAGACGCCCTGATATGAAAAGCATTTGTCGATAAGACGTTTTTCCTCCTTCTTAACCTTAAACCTCACTTTCTTACTAAATCACGAGACCCTATACAATCCAACGAGCAGCTGCAGACCCTTACATCTGAAAGGCTTTCAAGTATAATTCATATGTGCCATTTTCATCCCCTTCATGCTTCTATGAAGGGGTTTAAATTAATGTTTGAATGTATTGAAGCTCTCAGGAGTCTGCCGTGACTGACAGAAGAAAGCTTTCCCAGCTGAGCGGTGGAAGAGCATCTCAAAAGTCATGGTATATATGGGCAAGCTTTATTCATTATTCTGATGAAAGAAGCAAAGCAGGGATTGAAGCACTCGTGATGTAATAATGTGAATCAACCACTCCAGTATTTGCATAGTGCTGTGTTATCAAAGGCCAAAAGAAGGAACATTCAACGATCCAATTCCTTTACATGGTCTGTTTGGGTTATAATTGTGGTTTAAATATTGAACGCCTTCAAGTGAAGATCAACTATGTACAGCATGGCTTGATCAATAGTAGAGACTAAGCTGAACACTAGTAGCTTTGAACTGTTGAACATTTGTAACTGTGGTTCCTATCAATGTACCAAATGTCTTTTCTTTGTGTCTTCAATACAAATATATGTAAATAAATAAACGATCCATCTCGTGCAGATCCAGAAGCCTTCATGTACCTTTGGTCAGATTATTTCTCATCAGGAATCAGTCTCTTCCAGTTTTCTCTTTCCCGACGACCCCTCTTTCGAGCGGCTCCACCACTGCAGGTCGAACTCTGCCTTGATGTGACAGGGCTGAGGAGACACACACAGATTTATTCATAAGAATTTAAACCAGTCTATGGTTTAAACTCACTCACTCACTCACTCACTCAACATTAATAGTGAACACACACACTTGAATAACATGGTGATCAGGGTTCATACACTTTTTCACCAATGATTTTCAATGACTTTTCCATGACTTCTCCATGACCTTTACCTCATTTTCCATGACCAAAGAAATTACTCTTTCTCAGCGGTACCACTGAAAATGGTTTATTTGAACATGGAACAGGAAAATAAGGTCTGAAACATGTTGTGTATCTAAAACAAATCAAATAGTAGGCTTACTAGCTTCTACACGCTAAAGCAACTAAAATCTCTCACCAGCAAAATACCTCGTCAGTTAAATGCCATTTTACGTTTCATTACTATACGATACAGTATTTATTATCATTATAGTATTACTATTTCGGCAATTAGATAAAATATAAATTATATTTTATGCAACTTTGGTTACATTTCCATGACTTTTCCAAATACTTTGGGAAAAATATTATTTTCCATAACTTTTCCAGGGCCTGGAATTAGCATTTTGAATTTCCATGACTTTTCCAGGTTTTTAATGACCGTAAGAACCCTGGGTGATGTTCTCTAGACTCCACACAGAGCTATATGATGTTTGGTCAGGTACTCTTTAAAACAGCTGGTAGTTATGGGTACTTTTTACTTAAGTACATTTCAAAGCCCATACTTCTGTACTTCTACTTGAGTAAAGGATGTGTGTACTTCTGTCATCTGTGGTTGTGTTATACCTGTCTGGAGGACTTGATCAGGGTCGCAGAGCGCAGACTGGAGTGCCCGCCCGCCCCCCCCCTCCCCCTTCCTCTCCAGCAGGACTCTGGTTCTCGGGATGTGACTCCATGACACCCCGAGACCCGGCTGCACCCCCCCACTGTCGCTGCGTGTCACATGGTTCGTCACCTGCAGACAGATCAGACATCATTACGTTTTAATCTTTCAGAATCAGAATACTTTATTTTGTCTTTGCTTTTGATAGCTTTGTCCCTTCGAGGCATGTCTTGTGATTTGGGGCTATAATAAATGTTGATTTGATCTGTTTATCCCGGGGGGAACTGGATTCTGTGACATTTCTCTTACGTCTTGTTTTGACATAAACACAAGTTATAGTAGGTATCGTAAAATAAGTTTAAGCACCGTTTAAAAGGCTGGATTATCTCATCATGTGTTCTGTTTTATGGTTTAGAATTGATTGTGAGAGACAGCTCAAGCTTTAGAAGAAGGAAATAAATATATAACTCTCTACATTGTCCCACTTCTAATCAGAGGGCCATCAAACAGCCGATCAAATCATCTTCCCCTCACTTTAAATAACTTGATAATGGGAGGTGAGGGAACATTTTCTTTACTTCACGCTCCTTAAACTCGATTAGTGTTATTAGAGATTTTACATAATCACCACCTGCAGTCAAACAGTTGAATGGATTTTTCTTAAACACACATTTAGTGTCAGACATTAGGAACCTTTTGTTTTACCCTGATTTAAAAAGTGAAAAGAGGTGCAGGTTTCAGCAGAGGAAGATGTGAGAGGGTTGCAGAGAGTTGGGATTGACAGGAGATATGCACGGTGCATTTAAAGTAGTGCACATCAAGGACTGTCTCACCAACGCAGCGACGTTAAAGTCCTTCGCCATCGTCTTCAGAGCTCCAGCCACTTGTATCATCAAGGACATGCCTGCAGGCAGGAAGTGAGAGAGTGAGAGAGTGAGTAGAATATACAGCGTCTATACTTTATAAGGACTTTAACAGAAGGAGCTCAGGCTGCAGATATTACTGACATTTACAGTCTCTAATACGTCTATGGGTGACTGACTCTTTTATTACAGACACACTGTATCAGAGCTCCGGGGTGTCGCTCAGATGAGAGGAAATATTACATTTCTTTATTCTTATTATGTGCGCAATAATTACAGAAGAAAATCTTAATGACATGCAAATATGCTAAATCTGACTATACAAAGAAATGCAATGTTAAATATATAATAATAATAATAAAAATATGGGGCTAAAATATATCTCAATGAGACATTTCCTTCCTAGGTTTGAACAGATTGAGTTGTTTCACTACAAACCTAATCTACCTGAAGTGCTTTTGTTCAAACGTTCTATGAGCTGAGATTTTAGCCTTTTTTGTGTTTTTTTTATTTAAACCCTAACCCTAACCCTAACCCCTAACCCTAACCCTAACCCCTAACCCTAACCCTAACAGCCATCACCCCACCATCAAAGTCAAGTACATCATAAATGAACACACAGTCAACTTTCTAGACACCACAGTTTTCTTCCAACCTCTCAACAACACACACAAGAAAATACTCACAAAGGTTTACTTTAAGTCTACAGACACACATTCATTATTACATAAATCCAGTTATCATCCAAAACACACTTTCCCAGGTATCATAAAATCTCAAATCATCCGTTATCACCGCATCTCCACCAAACTGTCTGACTTCCACCATTCCGTCAGGATCCTCTTCCACAGCCTGCAAACAAGAGGCTATTCAAAACGCTTTCTCCGTCACATTAAGGACGCTACCTTGGCCAGCCTCGTCCCCACTCGCTCTCCTCCTCCTGCTCCTGGAGGATATCCACCTCAGGTCACTGACTCGGACCAGTCTCCACTCCCAATACCCCTCTCCACTCCCGACTCCTCCTCCCCCCACCCTAACCAGGGTGTGCATCCTCTCCCTTACCCACACTCCCACCCGGATTTCCCCCACCCGAACCAGGGTCTGCATCCCACCCCCCTCCTCCCTAACCCCAACCCATTGGTACGTGGAGACTGCCCGGACCACTCCCCCACCGACAACCATCCCCCACCTAGCCCTAACCCCAACCACCCCCTACCTGACCCTAACCCCAATCTCAACCCCATGGGACTCATCCCATGTCCACACCCCTCATCCACTGACAAGCCCCCACCTCCGGATCCTAACCCTAACCATCTCCCACCTGACCCTAACCCCAACCGTCAACTCATTCCATTTGTCTCCACCTTCTCCCACACCATCACAGGATTCCACCGGACCATCAAAAATAATTTCTCCCTCCTCCAGTCACAACCCTATTTCTCCAATCACAAGGTCATCTCAGCCTACAGGAAAAATCCTAGCTTACACGACATACTCATACATTCCAAGTTTAGCAGCAACAGAGCCTTACCACATACACAACATAGTCACCGATACGTCAACAGAAAATACATACATAACCAATACAGTGGAGCAGCCTTCCCTGCCCTTGGTTCATTCTCTCTTAGTAACAGCAACATAGTCTACATCATCACATGCAACACCTGCAAAAAACACTACATAGGAGAAACAAAACACACCATACTCACCCGCCTTAAACAACACCTGTACAACATTGGGGAAGGTCGACTCCCAACCCCCCTGGTCACCCATTTCCAACAACACCCGCCAGACCAACTCATCATCTCAGGCCTGGAAACCAATGACCGGTGGACCATCGGGCAGAGGAAGAGGGCAGAAACATCTTGGATCCAGAAACTCGGGACAACCACACCCAGGGGACTCAACGACGTGTAGACCTATCCCCTCTGGATCCCCCCTCTCCTCTGCCCAACAGTCCCAGGGATGATCTGAACTACTCCTCCTCCTTGGTCCATGTACCCCAACACTAACAGACAAACACACTCACAACACCCATCCACAGACCCCTAGGCCAGTGCAACCCAATCCCATACCGGAATCCATAACCCCACTCCTAACCCAAACCTAACCCTAACCCCTAACCCTAAAAACTCCCTTCCTAACCACCCCTCTCCTCTGTGTCTCCCCCCTACAGGCGATGCTGGTCTCCGGTCGGGCTCGGCCGGTCGACGGGTCCCTTCAGACCACACCCAAAATCAGGGAGGGTTCGTGATGAAAGGGACTAAGAGGGTCACATGTACCCATCCACTAACCCACTCTGATCCCTCCCGTGGTCCGTCTCCTGGGCTCCCGTTGCCCGGCCAGCCCTCTCCGGGGCTCAGCTCGTCTCAACACCATGGCTCTGGCTCCAGCTGTGAACCTTATTGGGAACCAGAATCCCTTATATCTGATGACTTTCTGGAACGACAAACCCCTATGATCTCCTCAGCCTATACACATACACAGTTTCCAGAATTGGTGCAAACACCTTAACTCCTATTTTGACCTTATGTCGAATAACACACACACACCCATCCACAGATCCTTCGGCCCGTGCACCTATTCTCAAACCAGAATCCAAAACCCCATCCCTACACAAAACCTAACCCTAACCCTAACCCCTAACCCCTAACCCTCAGGTGTGAAGAACAATCCGCCCAGAGCTCAGACGTCAATTTATTCATGAATAAATTGGTCTACACAGATCAGTGGCGTTTGTTAAACCTGAATACTTCATGAATTAGTTCGTTTAAATAACACACACAGGTTCGGTTCAGGTCCTCTCCTCTCTGTGGTGGTTTTTTATCTGTCTTTAAAACCAAAAGTTCAGAATAAAGTAGATTAAAGTTCATCTGGATTAACTTTAATTATGTTGACTCTCAGGAGGTCAGGCTGCAGCTCCAAGGTTAATAAAACAGATCTATTTATAACTGATATCAGACGAATGAGCTTTCACTCCACAGACTGCTTTTCAGCTGTGAAGATTTATTAAAAAGAGGCTCTATTAATTATGCTTTTGGGGTTTTCCCTTTCCTATACAGTAGTCTCTTATAGGTTTTAGTGCATGTAAATGGTCTGCAAAGGCTAAAATCCCTGTGTTTACTAAGTGACATCACTACGTAACCCTTGCGCTTCTGTTGGCTAGCGCTCCAACACATTGTACGTGATAGGCTAAGGGGCGGGACATCTCTAAGCGGTTGACCAATCACAACAGAGCTGGCCAGCTAACCAATCAGAGCAGACTGGGCTCTGGTTTCAGACAGAGGGTGAAAAGAGGTGCTGCTGCACAGGCAGTATGAGACAACTAAAGAGCTTTTTGAACATTAAAGCATGGAGACATGTAGAGACACTACATACTGATATACACCTGAACATCAGCAGGAGAGGACTCTTTAAAGTAGAGACACTACATACTGATATACACCTGAACATCAGCAGGAGAGGACTCTTTAAAGTAGAGACACTACATACTGATATACACCTGAACATCAGCAGGAGAGGACTCTTTAAAGTAGAGACACTACATACTGATATACACCTGAACATCAGCAGGAGAGGACTCTTTAAAGTAGAGACACTACATACTGATATACACCTGAACATCAGCAGGAGAGGACTCTTTAAAGTAGAGACACTACATACTGATATACACCTGAACATCAGCAGGAGAGGACTCTTTAAAGTAGAGACACTACATACTGATATACACCTGAACATCAGCAGGAGAGGACTCTTTAAAGTAGAGACACTACATACTGATATACACCTGAACATCAGCAGGAGAGGACTCTTTAAAGTAGAGACACTACATACTGATATACACCTGAACATCAGCAGGAGAGGACTCTTTAAAGTAGAGACACTACATACTGATATACACCTGAACATCAGCAGGAGAGGACTCTTTAAAGTAGAGACACTACATACTGATATACACCTGAACATCAGCAGGAGAGGACTCTTTAAATTAGAGACACTACATACTGATATACACCTGAACATCAGCAGGAGAGGACTCTTTAAAGTAGAGACACTACATACTGATATACACCTGAACATCAGCAGGAGAGGACTCTTTAAAGTAGAGACACTACATACTGATATACACCTGAACATCAGCAGGAGAGGACTCTTTAAAGTAGAGACACTACATACTGATACACACCTGAACATCAGCAGGAGAGGACTCTTTAAAGTAGAGACACTACATACTGATATATACCTGAACATCAGCAGGAGAGGACTCTTTAAAGTAGAGACACAACATACTGATAACTATAATAAATATAAGAAGCTCAAAATGATGTTATTATTCAACAATTCTTTGTTGCTTTAATGTGACAGTAAAAAAGTGTTGTTATTTCCCACAACAGGAACTGACGTCTCATGTTTGCCAAATGTATATGAAGCTTGTTTAGATATATGTACAGGTGTGAGTGTAAACACAGCCTCAGGTTTGATGGACTTCAGAGAGAGATATCACCTTCGTTCTGCTTTCCTCCCAGCAGAGGAGAGATAACCGCAGACACCGAGTCCACGATCACCGCCTTCACAGAGCCAGCACACGCCTGGTGGGAACATGTGACAAAATGAGATGAGCTGGATATGCAACGCGTCTACTCGAAGGTTCCTGTTAGAAAAATATCACTAGTCTCCGGCTTGAGCTTCAAAACAGGATCCATGTATGTGTGATCCTCTCCAGAATGGAAGTAGTCATCACATACAGAGCATCAACTAGTTCCTGAACAGTGTCCTTCACATGCTGATATCCAAGAGAGGGAGTTACACAGTCACAAGATGGAGGAATAGAAAGCAGTACATCCTGTCACGTACAAAATTCTCAAAATTCTGACTTTTTCTCAAAATTCTGACTTTTTCTCAAAAATCAAAAAAATCAGACTTTTTCTCAAAAATCAAAAAAATCAGACTTTTTCTCAAAAATCTAAAAAATCAGACTTTTTCTCAAAAATCAAAAAAAAATCTGACTTTTTCTCAAAAATAAAAGAAAAATCTGACTTTTTCTCAAAAATAAAAAAAAATCTGACTACTTCTCAAAAATACAAAAAAAATCTGACTTTTTCTCCAAATCTAAAAAATCAAACTTTTTCTCAAAAATCTAAAAAATCTGACTTTTTCTCAAAAATCTAAAAAATCAGACTTTTTCTCAAAAATAAAAAAAAATCTGACTTTTTCTCCAAATCTAAAAAATCAAACTTTTTCTCAAAAATCGAAAAAATCTGACTTTTTCTCAAAAATCGAAAAAATCAGACTTTTTCTCAAAAATCTAAAAAATCAGACTTTTTCTCAAAAATACAAAAAAAATCTGACTTTTTCTCCAAATCTAAAAAATCAAACTTTTTCTCAAAAATCTAAAAAATCTGACTTTTTCTCAAAAATCTAAAAAATCAGACTTTTTCTCAAAAATAAAAAAAAATCTGACTTTTTCTCCAAATCTAAAAAATCAAACTTTTTCTCAAAAATCTAAAAAATCTGACTTTTTCTCAAAAATCGAAAAAATCTGACTTTTTCTCAAAAATCTAAAAAATCAGACTTTTTCTCAAAAATACAAAAAAAATCTTGACTTTTTCTCCAAATCTAAAAAATCAAACTTTTTCTCAAAAATCTAAAAAATCTGACTTTTTCTCAAAAATCTAAAAAATCAGACTTTTTCTCAAAAATCTAAAAAATCAGACTTTTTCTCAAAGATCTAATCATCTGAATCATCATGTTAATCACATAGCTATCATATGCCTCAAACAGTCCTGATGCTCTTCTAGGTAATCATACATCCTGTCTGTACACAGCTACAGTTGGGATACCTTTGTTATCATGTGTACTCTGATATTGGAAGAGGACATTCAGTATTTTCCCAACAGGATTCTTGGTGTATTTTTAAGCAGTAAAAGTACCAACCTGCTGCAGCCTGCCACTGCGCAGAGCGAACAGACAGTCGAGGAGAGAGAAGATGTTGAACAGGCGGAAGACATGGATCCTCTGAAGAGCCTCCGTCTGTGAAGTGACAGATCCACGTTGTGTTTTTATCACACATCATGTAGTATTAGTGTGAATCTCCATCCTGTCCCCTCACCTGCTCCTCTGGGTTACTGCTCTCCGTCTGCATCATTTGGAGCAGGCGGCTGGCGGTGAGTCCTCCTGTCGTATCGATGAAGATCACACTCTGTTTCAGGTGCAGGGAGACGTGCACCGCCACGCCGAAACACACCTGGAGGAGGACATTTACTTTGGTATGAATGGAAATACTAAGGTACAGAAATACTCAGTTACATGGAACACTCCTGCAGTTAAAACTGCACTCAAGGTGTGAAGTAACTAAGTACATTTACTCAAGTACTGTACTTTATTTCAATGTTTTGCTACTTTGTACTTCTACTCCTCTACATGTCTTTAATACCTTTAGTTACAGATGTGGATGAATGATGTGAAATATAACCAAGTGTTAAATCAGACTTTAGTTCCACCTGGAGTAAATCCACAAGCTACCCTGCAGTATACAAAGTCATTCAAACTAGCTGCACCTTTACCAGCTTTGAGAACACTTTCATGATCAATCATTATAAAACATATCATATATATTATTCTGAAATGGACCAATCTGCACAATGACTACTTTTACTGTCGCTACTTTCACTATATTTTGATGAGAATACTTTTATACTTTCACTTGAGGAACATTTTGAATGCAGGACTTTTACTGTAACAGAGTATTCCTACACTCTGGTACTTCTACTTTTACTCAAGTACAAGATCTGAGTACTTCTACTTTCACTCAAGTACAAGATCTGAGTACTTCTACTTTCACTCAAGAACAAGATCTGAGTACTTCTACTTTTACTCAAGTACAAGATCTGAGTACTTCTACTTTTACTCAAGAACAAGATCTGAGTACTCCTACTTTTACTCAAGTACAAGATCTGAGTACTTCTACTTTTACTCAAGTACAAGATCTGAGTACTTCTAACTTTACTCAAGTACAAGATGTGAGTACTTCTACTTTCACTCAAGAACAAGATCTGAGTACTTCTACTTTTACTCAAGTACAAGATCTGAGTACTTCTACTTTTACTCAAGAACAAGATCTGAGTACTTCTACTTTTACTCAAGTACAAGATCTGAGTACTTCTACTTTTACTCAAGTACAAGATCTGAGTACTTCTACTTTTACTCAAGTACAAGATCTGAGTACTTCTACTTTTACTCAAGTACCAGATCTGAGTACTTCTACTTTTACTCAAGTACAAGATCTGAGTACTTCTACTTTTACTCAAGTACAAGATCTGAGTACTTCTACTTTTACTCAAGTATAAGATCTGAGTAGTTCTACTTTTACTCAAGTACAAGATCTGAGTACTTTTAACTTTACTCAAGTACAAGATGTGAGTACTTCTCCAAACTCTGAGTATACCTACATGTGTCAAAACATGACAATAAAAAAGCTCTTTGGGTTAACAGCAGGATCTTAATCAGCAAAAGGAGGCAGTTATCTTTTACATCATATCATTGTGAATTATAAAAAGACTGGTATACTCTTGTTGTTTTAAATGAAAATAAAGAGCGTTATGAAGGAAGGAAGAAGTATTCTGATCTTGTACTTCAGTGAAAATACAAATACTACAGTGTAGAAATACTGTATCGGTTATAAGTCCTGCATTCAAAATGTTACTTAAGTAAAAGTAGAAAAGTAAAAGCATCAAAATACACTTAAACTACCAAAAGTAGAAGTATTAGTGCAGTGTTTTAGAATACTATAAATACCACTATTATAATTTAAGATGCAGTAATGTGTTCATTTCTTCAGTGTTGCATATGGTAAAGGTGGGATTTATTTTATATATTGCTTTGTAGTTTAACCTATAACAAAATATCGTAATCAAAATATTAATTTATTTATATTTTGTGCTAATAACTTTAATCTGCGAAGAAAAGCGGTTAAATAAATCTAGTAGAGAAAACGAGAACAGCACTGGCATACAGAATGAACTCGCTAATCAGAAAATACTCAAATGAAGTACAAGTACCTCAAATCATAAATACAATACTTCAGTAAATATGCAAAGTCAGATTCCTCCACTGCCTCGGAGACATGCCTGGTGTTCGGGGGACGGTTACATAAAGCATGGATAATGTGTGTTAGCTAAACCATAACGATTGTTTATGGTGTTTTATTGCAGGACTGGAGACGAGGGAATACTCAAAGAGGAAAATCATGAGGCTGAAACGCAGCGATGAAGAGGAAGAGGAAGGTAGGAAATGTTCACCTGAGATTTCCCGCTCCCCGGGCCTCCTGACAGCTCCGTTATCTCTCCGGTGAACAAGCCCGAATCCAGCAGTTTATCTAGGCTGCGAGAAACAATTCATTACTCACTCCCGCCATAATAAATCACACACACACACACACACACACACACACACACACACACACACACACACACACACACACACACACACACACACACACACACACACACACACACACACACACACACACACACACACACACACACACACACACACACACACACACACACACACACACACACACACACACACACACACACACACACACACACACACACACACACACACACACACACACACACACACACACACACGTTAGGATGTTTGGACAATTACTAAATCCAGCTGCTGCTTTTATGGTTTCTTATCGAGCTTTGCCACAGGCTGACTGTTTCAAGATTAATTAATCAAAAAGACTTTGATTATACTCTGTGCATTTGTGTGCTAGTCTGTGTGTGTGTGTGTGTGCGTGTGTGTGTGTGTGTGTGTGTGTGTGTGTGTGTGTGTGTGTGTGTGTGGGATTGTTTGTTGGTTACAAGTCTAATATAATAATAATACGTTCATTTGGTATAGCACCTTTCACAGAAATACAATTCACAACGTGCTTCACAAGAAAGAACAAAAGTTCAAATGAAGACCACAGAAACATGAATACAACAACAACAACAACACGAGGCAGACATGTAAGGTCAACATAACAACACAACACAGACCACGTGGAGTCCTGAAAGGAACAAACATAAGAGCACATCACACACATCTCAAGCCAATGTAAAAAGATGGGTCTTCAGTTGTTTTTGAAAAGCTTCTAGAGAGACTGCAGAGCGGATGTCTATAATGCAATGTCTGTAAAGGGTGTGCACACTAAAGAACTATATCCCAACTGTGTATACACCACCAAAGAAGAAAGTACAAAACAACACTACATTCTTGCTTTGTTTATGTATTAGCTGTTGTAATCAAGAGACAATGAATTGAATTAAATAATCGACACATGTTCTATTATACAGAGTTGTGAGGGTTATGTAAAGTTAAAAGACTCCTCCAAACCCCAAGATTACTTCACACAAAGCAGGTATCTTTTTTATTGCGTCAAGGTTCTGGATCTTTAGCTAAAGTTATTGATTCTCCGACTCATGCTCCCGAGGTTAATAATGTCTGTTGACGCTGAGATACAAATCCTCTGTCTACGCTCTCTTTTACAACACCCTGCTGGATTCATTCCCATTTAAAGTGGACCTATCATGCTATATTTGAATAATATAGTGTAGGACCATACCTATATAAGGCATATTTATACTTTTTTCTTTTCAAAATACCAAACAGATCATGCATTTTAGCCATGCCTCATTTTGCTCAATTTGACATTTTATAGCCCTGTTTTAGCAAGGGCAGATTCAGTGAGAACAGCACCACCTACAGGCCTGGCATATGTACTACAGCGTCTCCAGCACTTTTGAACGGCAATGGCCGTGGCTGTCTCCTCCTGATTGGTGGAGTTGGCCCAATAGCCGTAGCGCCCACCGTCCTGACGTCAGGACAGTGTTCAAATCTGGATCAGTTTTTATCAGATCCGTTGCAGCCCCTTTTTTAGAGATTTGGGTATGGAGGAAAATAGAGAGGGTTGTGTTTTCTGACACTTGGTGAGTTCCCTGGAACACCGGGGACACATATTCATGTAGAAAAGACATACAAAAGTGCATTTTGCATGATAGGTCCCCTTTAAATCATCCATTATTTTACCTATTTCTTATAGTATTACATGCTGAGGACAATTACCAAAGAACTGTCCTGCCAGGAGAATAAGAAACAACTAATCACACTTTAGCAGGAACAAACTAAGATGGATATTTATCTCTTCACTGCGTTAAGTAGAGTCTGTTATGAGGCTTTCTAACCTTGTCACTCTTGCTACGATTCTTTGTTACCGTAGAGAGAAATCTTCGCTGTACTCCGTATTCTTACTTCTTTATACTTGACCTCTCCACCTCAGAGTGTCGGCTCTTTTCATGAGCTCACAAAGCAAAGAACTTAAGTAATAAATCACCAGCGCTCCATTCAGTCCCTGCTGTGAGCAGAGGTTAATGGTGGCGCTACCTTCGCCTTATTTGACAAATCTGATTAAATGTTGTGAACAATGGTTCTGCCAAGCAGGTGCAAAATGTGTTTTAATGCCTGTTCAGTCTTCACACCGTGTTAGCGTGGAATACAAGAGGAATAAAAGCTCCAGCCTCTCTGAGAGCAGCTGGATCCATCGTGACGTCGATGGAAAACAGAAGACGCAGAAACATCATAATTACACTTGCAGCTGTAGATCAGTGCATACATCGGAGTTGTTTGCAGTGACAGGTGAAATGCATGCTGGGAGTTTTGCTCACAGTGTTTAGCAAAGACTTTAAGAGATAGATGTATTCCTCCTGTGATTGTTTGGCATCATTATGGAATGTCAGGGGGGAAAAGTGGAAAAAAAGTTAAATTCCCATGTCATAGCATTTTAACACTATAACAACATTGATTTATGACATTTTGATACCATTTAAGGCCTTATTATTTATTAGTATTATACATTTTATGCCTTTTAAGCCTGGTTAAGGATGCATGGTAACCCTGTTATTGGTCTGAGCTTCGGCCGGGTATCAAACCTAAATACTTGTGAGTGCTGACCTCGATATGTCCAAAGCACAGAGACACAAAAACTGCTGAGCTGTCATCGGCAACACACACATACTTTTTTAAAGCAGTGGTGGGTAGAGTGTTTAAAATGTTGAAAAACTCCCTGAAGGCAATTCCCATGCTCTGCAAAAACAGGAGAAATATCCAATATCTGCGGCTGTCGAAGGACTCGGACATTTTTGGAGCGAGTTTTGCAAGATACTTTCTGTGTTGGAACAGTGTTAGCAAACTTAGGCGGCGCTGGATAAGTTAAATAATCTATGCTGGTTTCTCAATGAATAACTACCCTAGCTTTATGTGATAGTTTACTTAGTGTACTATATTTCAGAAAAGCTCTTATTGCGTCTGTAGGCAGTAGGGCTGTGCGATTATGGCAAAAATCATAATCACGATTATTTTGGTCAATAATTGATATCACGATTATTAAAAACGATTATCCATTTACTTTGAAAACATCCATATATTGAAAAAAAAAAATGTGAACAGTATGTTTTTAACAGTTGATTACCCTGAACTTTAAGTATAATTCAACTGAAAGAAAAAAAAGAAAAAAAAAAGAAATTACATTTTTTTTTTTTTTTAATAAAAATAATAATCGTTTTATTTCGATTACATTGTTTTCGTAATTGTTGCAAGCCAAAATCGTAATCGAGATTAAAATAGGATTAATTGCACAGCCCTAGTAGGCAGTAAAAACAAGTTGTGAGTGGCTGAATACGGGAATCACTTTGACGAGCTCAAACTAAACCGCTCCACTTCTTCCGTTCGTTTGACCATTTATTTATTGCATGAAAAAACTGGCAAAATGACAACACGTCCCAATACCAGAAGCCTTGAATGCTATGGCGAGTGCAAGCAGGAGTGTAATGGATATTGGCGAGGGAAAAATTGCGATATAATTGCAGTCAAGAGAAAATGTTACCGTTTGATATTTTAGAATAAACCACCACTAACTACCATGCTGTAGCGCACACCCACAACCAATAATGAGTGAAAAACACCACATCATTAAAATGAAAAAACACAGAGACTTTACATGTGTCTCTCTCCGTACAGTTACAACAACATAAACACTCAATGAATGTTGATTTATTTGGTCTAAATGCATGTTTTCCATTAGCCCCTGTCCTTTAAACACGAGTGTTTTCTTCCCCCTTTTATTTCCATCTCCACCGCAGCAGTGTTTGTCGTCGCGTTGCTTTACCAATCTGCTCTTTCACCACTGCAATATTTAGATGTGTCTGTGTTGACGCTCAGTGATCTGTGTATTCTGCGGAATCTCATCATCTCGTCGTGCACGTGTGATGATGGATGTGACAGACGCTCAATCTGCACGGACGAGGACTCCTTCAGCTGAAGGTGAAGCTGGGAGCCTGCACTTTGTTAAGAGTGCTTCTCATCAGCCTCAGCCTGATTGTGAAGGAGGTGGAAACGCCAGCATTTTTCTGCCTACTCCAACGTGCACTGTGGAAATATTCAGAAGCGTTCAAAAGAAAGACAACGATTGTCCTTGGAAATGATTGGAGAGAGGTTGGAGAGAGCTGAGGCTGAATCGAATCACTTGAACACATCCAAACATGTTGAAAGAAGCATGTGTGTGGCATTGTTTCATTATACTATCAGAATATGATGAATACTATTTATTAGTCAATGTATTGAACATGTCAGAAACAAAACATACAACAATAATAATACAATTATAGCAAAGAGAAGCAAAAAAAATGAAAATGTTCAAGGTACAAAAAAACAAAAAAAATCTCAAATAGTTTCTGTCATTGTTACGTGCCGCAGTTGGTGCTTGTGTGTGCATTTGTGTGTGTCTCTCTCTCTCTCCCTGATTGTCTCCAGGTGCAGCCTCTCCCCCAGGTGCTCCCAATCCCCAATCAGGGCCTCCATATAGGACCTGAGGAAGGCTGCAGTCACTGGGTGTTTCTCAATGGCGAGTACGCTTGCTTGGTAGCACATGTCTGCCGAGCATCTTGCTTCAGAAGCGAGTCAAGAATCCTTCCTGGCATTCGGAAAACGAAGAGTGGAACAGGCTAGCAAGTGTGCAGGAGTGCGTCATATGAGAGGCCCCGCCTCTTACATCTTCCGCCACAGATTTGGGGAAATTGGTCCGTGCGCAAAGCATTGTGGGGATTTTAAGACCGCGAAGTCTACTCATGTGCAGCCTCGATATTTCTCCAAACGGAGTACGCCAGGCTCGGTAGATTTCCAAGTATGCTGGAGATTGGAACAGTACTTCGGCGGCACTCGATGACGTAGTATGCTTGAAATAGTGGCTCTGAAGCAGCTTTACTCGCGATTGAGAAACACCCTCTGTCTCTGTGTGAGGCCTGTGTTCTTGTGAAGTGTTAGGAGATGTGCTC